TAAGTATTGAACAACGTCGGTGACAAAATGCAGACCTGACGTACTCCCCGTTTTATCGTAAATTCTTGTGAGGTTTCGTTGTCTACTCGATACAGCTTCCCTTTGCTGTAAGTATAATTTTATTAGGTCAATATTGCATCAATACTAGATTCTTTCAGTATCTGAAATAATTTTTGATGTTCACACCTTGTCAAATGCTTTTTCAAAGTCTATAAAACATGCGTAGACTCCGCAATTTATATCTCGACCTCTTTGTATCAATACTGTATGGAAAATGGGGCCTCTCGCGTTCCCAGTCCGCTTCTAAACCCAAACTGAACACTGCTAATGTTTTCTTAAGTTTTTTATATATGCAAGAGTGAATAACAGAAAGAAGGATTTTGAGTGTATGGCTCATTAAGCTTATAATTCTGTAATTCGAGCATCTGGTGGCATTTGCCTTTTTGGGGAGATGGATGAAGGTGGAAACTAGCCAATCTGTAGAAAATTCTGCAGTTTCATAGATTTTGTTCAGTAGACTCGTTAGGAGTTTGAGTTGGTTGTTTTCAAATAGATTCCATTTCAGCTTGTATGTTATCAGGTCCAGGTGCTTTGTTGTTTTTTAGTCTTTTTAACTGCATTATGTTACTTCACAGAGCGTTATTTCTGGTCTTGAACATCCATAAACACTGACTGTCTCTTGCTCTTCCTTAAATAATACTTCCATATATTGCCTCCATATCTCAAGTATTCTTTCATCATTTTCGTAGAGTAGATTGTTGTGCTCATTTAGTATTAATTTATGACTTCGTGATCCATTTCCTCGCGTTAGGTTTTTGATCTTTTTATGTAGGTTAAAGATGTCATGCTTCTGTTCTAGGGATTCTATTTCTATGTATTGATCTTGTAGCCATGATTCTTTTGCTTCTTTAACCTTTTTCTTAATGATTTTGTTTATTTCCTTTTACTTTTCTTCATTCTTATTTGTGTGTTTTCGTCGTTCTTCCATTAGCTCTAATATTTCTTGTCTCATCCACGGCTGTTTCTTTATATTGGTTTCTTCTTCTTCTTCATGTGCTTTGTCCGTTCCGAACGTTGGCAATCCTGACTTTGTTTACGGCAGATCTAAATAGATCAGCAGATGTCAATCCGAACAATTGCCGCAAGTTTTGGAGCCACGAGTGCCTTCTCCTCCCTGGACCCCTTCTGCTGTCTATTTTCCCTTGAACGATCAGCTGTAGTACTCTATATTTATTATGTTTCATAACGTGACCCAAGTATTTCAACTTTCTCTTCTTTATACCTCTCTCTGTTTACCTATCCGGCGTAGTACCTCTTCGTTGATCACGTGCTCAGTCCAGAATATACGTAATATACGTCGGTAAGCCCACATTTCGAAGGCCTCTACTTTTTTCATCAGTGTTGCGGTCATTGTCCACGCCTTCATTCCATATAACAAAACCGGGAATACATAACATTTCAGAAGTCGAATTTTGAGAGGTAGGGTGAGGGTTTTAGAGGTGAAAATTTGCTTTATGCTAGTGAACGATGCTCTTGCCTTTTCTACTCTTATACGTATTTTCTTCGCTTGATTCCAATTTGAGTTAACTGTTGTTCCCAAGTAGATGTACGAATCCACGTGTTCAATTATTTCATTGTCTAATATCAGTTGCTGTGGTGGTTGTTGGATTTTGCTTACTGACATCCATTTGGTTTTTGTGATATTTAGTCTGAGTCCGTATTGTGCACTTGTTTTTTGTATCTTATTTATTAGGCAACTCAGTTCCTCCATGCTACTTGCTAAAATCACAGTGTCATCAGCATACCTTATGTTATTAATTATTTCTCCAAGTTTATTGTTATATTGTTTTCTGGTTTAAGTTTATTATCTACCACTGAATTACAGATATTTTTGATTTTATTCCACATATCATCCACACTTATGTTTTCTTAATTAATATCTGAGATTGCCATGCTGTTTATTTTGTTGTTGATCTCCTCTTTGACTTCGTCTATTGTGATTTTATCTTTCAACTTCTGGATGGCCGGACGTTTATGTGCAATAACACTCATTCAGAAAGGTAAAGAACCATCATATTTAAGAAGAAAGCAATATAATTTAAATATTTCTAGAAAAATTGTTACGAATTATATATTTTAAAATGATAAAAATATAAGAACTCATTTAAATTTGTTTCCATCACTGCTTTTAGTTGTATTCAAAACTCATTAAGCTTTTTTGATCGTTCCGTCCCAATCAATAATGGAAAATTTGTTTATCACAAACGAAGAATATAAATCAAATGAATACCATTATCTGTTTCTTATTCACGCTAGTGACAGCCATGTATTATAATGTCCCCGTAGAGTGCATAAATTAAATCGCACAAAACACAAAGAAGCGGAAACCAAAATTCCAAACGAAAATGGTATAAGGATGTAAATTGCACACTCAATAGCGTCATCAGCCTCGTTGATTGTTGAATCGAATACGCATTAAACGGCGTCATGTACGTGCATACCAATTAAATTTAGCTCTGATTATAAATCTACTGAGATTAGAATTAATCCAGTTAGTGCGGGATTTATATAAAAACCTTACAGGCATTCTCAATTAACGGTTTGTAAAGGAAGATAGTTGCATTTCAGGAAAAAACAAAAGACTTAATTAGTAAAACGAAAATAGTGCTGAAAAGGAAGAAACAAATCTATACGAGTTCATCGACATTAAAAAAACCGTTAAAACTATAAAAGATGACACGAATGATTTTAGAAAACTAGAAGTGGAAAATAAGTTAAAGTAAAAAATATAGAATTCCTAAACCTTTTATGGACATGACCAAAATATATTTACTACAATAAATATTTTTACAAAAAGTTCATTTAAAGTCCTTTTTAAGAACTGATTATTTTTTTAGGTTTACTTGTGGAGGTGGGAAATATTTTTTTCACCGCTCAAAAACTGTGGATATTTATATACCTATAAGGTAGTAACAGACTAGTTCCATATAATTATTTTATTGAAAAAAACAATTCAGAAAAATAATTTACTTTCCACAAAAGCTTCTGAAATAATTTATTCGATTTTATTTTGCAACAACTCGGAGATATTGGTGAATTCATTGGCGATAGTTTGACTTGGCCGAAAACGTTTTGAAGATATATATTGAAGATATAAACTTAAATTGTAGCTTATTCTCAATAAAAATAGTAACCCCTTTTATTTTGAATTATTGAAATATATCTAGTTACAGAATCATCCAAATACCAATCTTTGTAACCTCTTTTCAAAGGTACTAAGGACATTTATATTATTTGGGATGACCCACCCTTAAAAGGTGTAACGACTATTTTGGCTTACTTAGAACTATTTTGCTTACCTCAGTGTAAGAACATGGGGGAGAAGATTGGGCAAACAAAATAATAGAAACTAGTGCGTACGGTACTCAGAGGGTTGTTGGAGAGCTGGGTCGTGGATAAGTTGAAATAAAATTGGTCGGATTGGGGTATCTACAAAATGAAAACAAAGGGATACTTACATAAACCTTCTGGTAATTAATACAACAAAAAAAGCTTCTAGCAATTTAAGATAAGGGCGCCGCTTCGAAGGATCCTAGTTTGCTGAAGGAAAGAAAAAAGTCTTCTTCCCTACAATCAAAAATACATACAAGGATTAGGAGACTTTTCTAAATTAAAACACAAAATGGATCAGAGAAACAAATCAAATGTTTATTTTTGTCTCAAACAAACAGTTTTCAAAAATACATATTATACAAGAGCATACTATATAACAAATTAGCAAAAACTTACGTGTTATTTGTTTACAAAAGAGATTGCTACAAAAATTTTTTGAAATGGTTCCTAGGTTATAATATGGCCAAATTAGATTATCAAAAAACTTGTGGATATCCCTTTTATGAAAATACTGTAGAATTTAACCTTATATATGAAATATCTTTTATATATAATAATCAAATTGAAATTGTTTTACAACAACAATGGATTAGAGCAAATGTCATATGTCAACATAACATTTTAAATCAGAATAAAATATGACATTTTTTAGCTACGATTCATAACATAATATAAAACTTTAATTATTACAAATTCTTTTATTTTAATGAAAGCAATTATTAAAAATGTCTATTTTACTTGGAAAAATTAATATATTAATTGTTACCTTATTTTTCACATATTTCACCGCTTAACTTTTAAAAAGCAAAAACTTGCTACATCTCTGGGGAAGCTACTTGCACAAATTCTCGAAATGGAACACAGGAAACCGATTTCCATACTCAGGAACGACGATCAAATCAGGTTTGGTGGAGTAACAAAGCAGACGACGGGGACATCCTCTACAATACTTTTCAAAAGTTTCCGGTATCTATACAAATCTTCTAATGACTACTCTGTCAAAATTGCTATTGCAAAGAGTATCATCACTTTGACTGGTCTTAAGACATCACAAAAAAAAAACAATTGAATCGACTTTTTGATTCAAAATTGCCCCAACATTCTACATCTTTCGGTTGATCTGGTTTGACTCTTAGTCCGCGAAAACGTCTACCTCGTTTCAAATCTTTTCTCCGACTTCTTACTAAACGCAATTTTAAATTTTCCTTCACGTCTCCGCAGCTAGTTTGTGGTCTACCAAACAAAAAAATCCCTCCGACAAGTGTTCATAACAAACTCGAAACGAACAGAAACAACTTTTTTTTTTCAACCGGAATATTAGGGAACTTGGATGTAAATAAATCGTTTTCAACTACAAATACATATATATTTTTACCCGACAAGGTAATAAAAAGTTATGGGATTTGAAAGTATACATAGACAAAAAAATATTTCCAGCGTTATTACGCATTTAATGAATCTCAACTTAACTTGGTATAAAGAACCAGGAGCGTACTACAAAATTTTAAAACCGAATTTATATTATTATATAGTTATTAAATATGAAAATTTACAACGCTACAAAGGCATAATGGATTCGTCTACTGTGATAAATTAAGAAGGAATATATGCGCTGCCAAATGACTGGTTTCGAGAAGCATCCAGTAAGTTTATTAATTTTATGTTATCCTTAATTCCCTGATTTGTTGTATAATCATTTGTTCGTTCTTTATGTGCCGTCTTCTATCGAAGGTTGGCGACCATCAAACGATAGGTTTCTCTGTTTTGTACCTCATGTATTATGTTCGCAGCTTCTGGTATTTGAAACCATTCTCTCAAGTTTCTCAGACAGGATTTTTTTTTCTGTCCAAACTTCAGACAGCTGTAGCAGACTGTACTTATCATTACGGAACACATGGCCGAGGTATGATGCTTTCTTCCTTTTAACAGTTGTTAACAATTCCACCTCTTTACCCATTCGTCCTAATACCTCTGTGTTGGTCACTCTGTCTGTCCAAGGTATTCTCAGTATGCAGTCGATACAACCACATTTCTAGAGCCACTACCTTTTTTATACTTGCTGCTGTTAACGTCCAGCCTTCTACTCAGTAAAGTAGCGTAGAGAGTATGTAGCATTTCCTGGCGTGCCATCCAGGTTGCGGTTGCTTAAGAGCTTTCTCATTTTGATGAATTTGGATCTTGCTATTTCAATTCGGATCTTAATCTCTACGTCTGGGTCCACTTATCATTTACTATACATCCCAGATATTTAAATCGGTGTACTCTTTCAATACGTTCGGCTTCAATATTCAGGTCGATATGTTGAATGATTCTTTGATCTACCGTCTACTGATCAGCATAAATTTAGTTTTCTTTCTATTGATCTTCAGTCAAAATGAGTTGCCAGTTGTATTTACTCGATTTAGTATTATCTGTATATCTTCGATGTTATCGATCAGTATAACAGTATCATCTGCATATCGAAAATTACTTATTGGTACGCAATTAATCTTGATGCCCACGTTGTACTCTTTCAGTGCCTCTAGAAATATTTGTTCCGTGTACAGGTTGAAAAGCAGTGGCAAAAGAATACAGCCCTGTCTAACCCCTCTAGAAATGGTTACGTTTTCACTCACCATATGTCCATTCTTTATCTGGACCGTTTGATTGTAAGTATAGATTTTTTATAATCTGGATGTCCTTAGTGTCAAGTCCTGTAAGATGTAATAGTTCTATGAGTTTTTCATGTTTGATAGTATCGAATGCTTTCTCATAGTCGATAAAACAGGCGTTAACATAATCATATTTCTGTTGATCCAGGCATTGAATCAAGACTAAGTATTCCAAAGAGGGGCTTTCGAGTTCGCCTAAAACCGCATCTAAAACCGAACTGTGTTTTACTTATTCTGTGTTCTAATTTTGCTCGTATTCTGGAATGAATAATAAGCAAGAATACTTTTTAAGGATGTGACTCATTAACTTATAAGGTGATATTCACTACTTCTTCTTCTTCGCGTGCCATATCAGAACTATCCGACGTTGCCAATCACCATTGCGAAGGCTTCACGATCTTCTGATAGATAACTGATGTTTTACCATTGTCCTACACTTCTACGGCCCCTCTATTTTGCCTTTAAGGATCAGTTGTAATATTTTATATCAACTTCCCCTTACTATATGTCCCAGATTAGACATTTTTCCATGTTTACCAGTCTTTAGCAGTTCTCTGTCTTTGTTGACGCTCCATAGTACTTCTTCATTAGTTTTTCTTACTGTCCAAGGTATAGATTCGTCTATGAACCCACATTTCCAATGCTTTAATTTTGTTCATGATCGATACTTTTAGCGTCCACACTTCTGCACTATACAAAAGTACAGACCAAACATAACACTTAACCAATCTTTGCCTTAGTTCTAAACTCAGATGGTTATTGCAAAGAAATGACTTCATATTCGTAAAAGTAGTTTTAGTCATTGCTATTCTACGTTTTATTTCTATGTCGGGATCTGGTTGGTCCGGTATCACAGTTCCCAGATATGTCATTTAGTGAACTTTCCCAACTTGGACTCCGTTCAATTAAAGCTTTGCATCGGGATAGTGGGTCACGACTAAACACTAAAAATTTGGTTTTGTTTGAGTTTATTTTAATGTCCATTTCCTCTCCTACAACATAGAATTTTTTTTGAAAAAAAATATGTCGCCCTTGTAAAACTGTTTATTTTTGACTTTAAAATAGATTTTAGTTTCGGCGGTTCGGCTAAATACGATGACGATTTATGAATAACCCGAAATAACTAAAAAATAACTGTTCGAATTTTCAATAAGATATCGTAAGCATCTTTTGATATGACTGGTCTATAACGAAAATGAGAGTACGCGACAGATATACCTTTTCCAATCAAATTTTGTGACCATAAATTTTATTTTTATTCTCCTAATTGGTTCTGGTGTCACGTACTGATTATTATTTTTGTGTAACGAATGGCTGCTGGTTTGATTAGGAGTTGAAATTTTCAGTAATTACGAAAACTCATTGATTTATGGACAATTTGTGTGGATGTTTACTGCCATGATATCGTAATTAGCCTAGATCTTTCAGTTATGAGAATTATGCAGCTGACATGATTGATTTTTTAATAGTTTTTACGAAAACACTGGTGTCTGTTGGAAAGACAACACGTTAGAGTGTGTTGTTATACTTTGGAATGTAAATTTAAAATAGATATAAGTTTTCGGTATATTGTGATTTTTAAGAAAAATTTTCTTTTTTTTTACTACTGTAATTTGTTCCTTCAATATAGGGAGGTCCAATCACCTTCGTATTGGGTGATTAACGTCTCCACGTTAAACATGACCAAAACCATTTTTACCTATGCTGTCTCATCTTGACACCAATTGGTGAAACCCCTAGACTTCCCCTAATATTCTACCCTATTCGATCATATCCTTTATCCTATTCTATCTATATTTGTAATTTTATCTTTTTTTGTCCCTCGACTCATCCATCTCAGCATTCTTATTTCCGCCTCATGCATTCGTTATTCATCTTTCTTTTTAACTTTCTAACATTCAGTTCCGTACATAATAGATGGTCGTATGTGTGTTTTATAGAATTTTCCCTTCAGTTTCCTTGTAATTTTTCTATCAAACAACACACCACTCGCTTCCTTCTACTTCATCCATCCAATCCCAATTCTACTTGCATGCCTCTCCATCTATTCCTCCATTACTCTATAACACCAATCCTAGGTTTTTAAAACTATTTCCTTTCACAATCATTTCACCATCTAAATATATTATTCTATTTGTACTAACTCCATCTTTAAATGAACATTCCAAATACTCTATTTTTGTCCTACTAAGTTTTAAACCTTCATTCTCAAGAGCTGGTTTCCACTGTTCCAGTTTTTGTTCTAAGTCGCTTTCACTATTTCCTACTAACACTACATCATTAGCATACATTAAACACCACGGAATATTGTACTTTAGTTTCACCGTTATTTGATCCCAAACTAATGAGAATAAATAAGGACTAAGCACCGAGCCCTGGTGCAATCCTACTTCCATGATCAATGAATGCTACATGAGCGTTTATTTCTTTATTCCTCTGGTTTTTCATCAACTTCCTAGTAATGAAAATTGCGTCTGTTGATGTGCCTTGCATAGAGCCAAATCAATTATTGGATATTTCGGTTTCTTCACGTATCAGTCTATCAATTACTCTCTCCCATATTTTCATGGTGTGACTAAGTAGATTTGTGGCCCTGTAATTGGTACAGTGTTGTACATCTCCCTTGTTTTTGTAGACAGGTACTAACAGGTTGACTGCGTTACCGGTCCCGTGGGACCGGTGTTCGTTATTATTAAAGTGCGGTATGTGAAAACTGCAAACTTTTAAAAATTGCGAAAAGCATATCTTCGTTAATATTCGTTTGTTTTAAATGCTAAAAACAGCATTATACTTGTTTCAAGATTCCAAACATTTTTAAAAGAAAAAAAATGTACCGGGCTTTGGGGGCCGGTAACGCACAGACATTACAATTTGTTACTCGGTGCGAGACCGGTCCTGTGGGACCGGTGCATATTTATATATGCTTGCTTGCGCAGGTCAATCCACGTTTAGTATCGTTTGTATTTCAATAGCAGGTGTGTTTATGTCTGTGTTTTACTAGTCTAAAAATGTCATCTCGCGTTAAAAAGATTTTGTTTTAGCTAAAACAGCTGATACAAACAAAACAAAAACTGTAGAGTGTAACGAACCGAGTACTTCATTTGAAAATAAAAATATAACGAAGATAACCCAAGTGTTGTAAATGCGAGCCAAAGTCCTGGTGATTCAAGAGATCATGTGCTTGCAGAGTTGCCAAACAGTGACAGTGAAAATGAACGGGACGATCCTTTTGATTCGGACGATTCTGTAATCGACAAAAACTATGTTCTTTCTTCAGATGACTCTTGCAGTGATGTAAGTACGAGTGATTTATTTGATGATAATAATGAGACAGAAATTGAAAGTGAAAAAATGTCAGAATCTGAAAATGATGATGAAAACGAGTGGCATGATATAGATGAGAGTGACAATGAAGCTGGTGAGTTGCAACAATATCAAGAGTTGCCTATATTAAATTTTAACGTTAATGAAATAAAAAATTCTATAGACGCTTACAAGTTATTTGTAACTGATGATCTTTTACAGAATATTGTTACTGAAACAAATAGATTTGCTCGGCAAATGTTGTTAAATATACATCGATCAAAATCACGTATACGTTCCTGGGTTGACTGCGATGTAGCCGAACTTAAACGTTTTTTTTTATTCAATATGTATAGTTATGGGATTAGTTGATGGTCCCTCAATAAATTGTATTGGTCAAAAGATCCCATGTTCAGGAATGAGTTTATTACTAATACCATGAGACGAGACAGGTTCCTTTTATTGATGCGTTTGCATTCATTTTTGTAATAATGAGCAGTGTAATAAAGATGATCGGCTCTATAAGTTAGGTGAAGTTTTAGAGGTATTGAATAAAAATTTTCAAGCTGCATTAACACCAGGACGGATTTTGGTTGTCGATGAAAGTATAGTACCTTATCAAGGAAGACTACAAATAAAGCAATATCTCCCAAATAAAACACACCCGTATGGAATTAAATTATATAAAT